AATTCTTGGGACAAAGACTTGTGTAAACTTGTGCCTTGGTTTGCTTGGTATTCATGTTTCACACTGCTGAGTATTGACACAATACCTGGGAATCTATATATGGGGGGCGAGTGTATCCATGACATTTCTCAACCTTACAAACATACAGGTTACACTTCACAATGATCCATTTCAAATGTTTGTCTGTCGTCGTGGGCTGTTTGTCGACACCTACAATTCTACTTCTCTCAACCGTCTCCTTTCTATACCCCTCTGTAATTCCAGAGAGAGAGAGAGAGAGAGAGAGAGGATGTGATTTGATTAAAATAATTCTTTGTTTTCAAATTAAATACTGTAAGTCTTGTATGCTTTTTCTATATTTCAATTCAACATTATCATCCTTTCAGAGCTAGCAGAATGTTAAAGGTACTATGTCCCATTTGCAGGCCCAAAAAATGAAAAAGTTAAATTACAACTGCATTTGAAAGATAATACTAATTTAGAACTTCCCTAAAAAAGGTGGGGCTTGAAAATGTCTTCAAGTGGGAAAATAACGACTATTAGTTGTCAAATCGACTTTAGGGCTATAGAGCCCAAAAGTAATAGTCTTGATTTTCAGACAATCGTACCGAATGGTCATATGTTTTATGCTGCGCAAAGATTCAATCAGTTTAATCTTGGCCATCACAAGAAGTGGGTTATTGATGTAGACAAATGCTCAAGTACCCTTTACAACTCTTTTCATGTATGTTATTACCAAAGAAGAAAAAAAGCCAGTCAGTCACTCAATAGTGTCTGACAGTGAAGTCTAGCAAGTTAACGGGTTTCCTTGCATAATTTGAATATGAGGACACTGCTAACGTTTAAATTTCACAGATAGGACATACATGACATATTCATAATTCCTGCAAAGTTCTACATAATTTGAGGTTGGCTGCAAAAGGGACATAGTACCTTTAACTCACATATCTTCACATACAGTAACACATTCAAATAGAGTAACATGTTCACAACAGACGATTTACAAGTATGTATGGCAGTCATATTTCATTATAAGTCCCAGAAAAAGTCCCGTATATAATCAATACATAAAATATATTAGCATTTTGCTCTCTATTCTTCAGATGTCCATAAATTTGAGGGATACAGGTATGGGGAAGAAAAAAAAAAATCAAAACAATGAAAATATATGTACAATCAAGAGGTACACATCCAACATTTGTCAATAGTAAAGAGGAAATGACAATACTGAATAAATTTAATTCTATATTAGAAATATTTGATAATACTAATTGATTTTTGACACGTACAATGGTTCTATGTAACATCACAAGTATGTACACATAATACAAGCGGTATACATTGACAAATATGGCTCATATTCTTGAAGGTCCAAGGTCATCTCTTACGTTCCATATGTATTACTGTAATTATGCAACAAAAATAAATCCAAAAAAATAATGATTAAGACATAAAATGAAATAGAGAAATTCCCTTCAAAGAGAAATTCTAATTAAGTTGGAGAATTATGGTGATTTATACAAAATTAAAATCATCGGCATTCAGCATCCCGTAAATCTGTGGACCAACTCTACACACTTCTGTAGGTTTAAAACCTGGCCTTCAGTATGGCTACTTTCAACGACGTGGGCGCATTATTGAAAGGATTGAAAGAAAGGAGTAAACTCTGTGTACAAGTAGTTAAGTACAGTATATGAGTTAATACCCTTCTGACTCTCAACAAAGTTTATTTATATCTTTTCCATCTATTTTATTTCTTATATTATATTATATTTTGTAATGTGAATCATCTTGTAGCAAAGGTTAGATGTTGTTTCCGTTGCACATATCTTACTCCTGAAATATGAAGTCTAGACAATGTCAATCCATTTGATGAATCACCATTATGCAACTAATCATTGTCCAATCCAGATATTTAGTAAGTCTACAACTATCATATTTATATTTACATCAGGCTTGATGATAGATATGGGGAGTCTTTGATATGTATTTTTAGTTATAAAGAACAATATTTATTTACATTTGTCTTATTAACGATATATAAAGGAATAGATGTATGATTACTTCATACATGGAATTAAAAAAAAATATTTTTGCAAATTGTTAGTTTCCCTCTTCTTTCGTTGTATTTTTCACATTGCATGTTTATCCTTTTTTCGTTTTTTTTTTCTCCTGTCCAGTGTATTCAGGCGGTAAGCCTAAGCCTTGAATGTTCATTTTTACAAGCTTCCTCTTATTATATTCAATAAATAAAGTATGTGATTAAAGAAAACACCAAATAGCAAGTTGATGCCAGTATGGTCATAATTTACAGTGATAAGCAGCAAATCTTCTACAACATAGTACAAACTACAAACAGATTAGTAATAGTACTGCACAAAATTCATTACTTAAAAAGAAGTGTTAAAAGAGATCAATCACAAAGATTTGAAAATACACTGAACAATCATGCAAATATTGAACAGTTATCAAAAAAATGTAAGGGACCTGTCATACTTCCTGAATTCATCATTTTTAAATTTGTTTACTTCCAAAAGAAAACATGAAACATAAAACAATCTATCAGACCATATTCAGGTTTGGGTGCATAACAAATTCCTTGTAAAATTTTCCAATACTCAGTCAGTATGTTCACTGATATAGAAAAATATACAATAACATGCTCTTTTACAAAAGAAATTTTGTTTAGAACTGGACTCTGATTTCTTATACAATGGAGGACTGTTCATTTCACATGGGTGTCATGACAACGTTAGTGTCAACCATAAATCACAGGTTCAAATTCTTAGCCTTAGATTTCTAATGTACAGGTATATCTCCATGGTTACCATGCATATCATTATAGAAACTTGTCACAATTGGGGTCAACATTATGAAGATTGATTGTTCATGATCTTGACATTGTTAAGTACTTAAAGGAAACCTAACCCCAAAGAATAAGTGTAGGTATCCTGAAAAATGACATTTATTCCTGCCCTTTGATGTACAATATTCCTTACAAAAATGTACAAGAGATATATAAATGAAGATATTCCTGGCATGATGTGATGCCTTTTTATTATGACATGGGCGCAGCCATTTTCTCGGGAAATGTGACGTACCAGTTGAAGTTGTACATGTATCATGCACAAAGCTTTAGTTAGAAATAATTTTAAAATCACTAACAAAACCTTTACTTTTCAATGAGGAAAAATCATAACTGAAAAGATAACAATTATATTTGGTGAAAAATAGATAACAGGGGAACAAAATTAATTAAATTCATTTACACTTTAGTAGTTGATAAATCTATTTCATTTATGAGAAACCTTAAAGGTAATACAAAGTTTTGGGAAATTTTGAAAATTGGGTGGATAGTGAATCTTTACAATTTTGATATATTTGGATGCCCCTGTGGATGTAATATAAGCACTAAACAAATTAACCCCTAAAACACTTCTGTTTTCGATAAAAATTGAATATAAAAATTTACCGGTGCTCCCGGTAAATTTTGATAAATTTCAAATAGCGCCTACAGCCGTACAATGGTAGCTGCGACCATGAAAATCTCAGAATATGTAGTTGTGATGTATAATTTCCAAACGGGAATAGCTAATCGGTCGATTTTAGTCAAGAAACATTGTTTCATAGCTAAATTGATATCTTGACATTGAGAGGGAGCTATACAACATAAAGAGTTTATTATTTATAATTTCATAACTTTAGACTCGATTTCAACCGGGACAACGATCAATGAATATTGTAGGAACGCATATGCTTCCAATATGTTAATTTGAACCAAATTCATGACCCCATACCAAAACTTTGTGATACCTTTAAGAGCACCAACTTATTTATGCAATTTGCGTTCTTGCAATTGTAGTACAAAGGATAATAGCAGGTGAATAAAAAGCTTCATCACCACACACGTCTGTGAAGGAAGCATCCATAAATTTTAATACATTTACTTGATAAACGACTTCGCATAGTACATCACAATATCAAGAAAATGGTGATGCCCATGTCATGCTGAGAAACTACTTTATTCTTGCTTTATACCTCTCTCATACATTTTGGTGGGGAATCTTGTAGACTAATGAGCAATGATATAATAGATCTCTCAGAATAAGTAAAGTCATTTCTTGGGGTTAGGTATCCTAACAAACCATCTTTGAAATATAAATTCTTTATTTTGTTTTTGTTTTTAATGAGAACTCTTTCCAAGCATTAGTACTTAATCTAAAGACATAAGGTTAGTAGGACTCATTTTTAAATACCCTTCAGAATAATATATCAGGAAATGCACATGATAATTTCATGTATTATGAGAGCATTGTTATCCATATTAGGTTCCCCATTGCCATGCTAGAAACTGTATGTACCATTATAAAAGAAATTTATCTACAGACTTATGTACAATTAATTAATTTGGTACTCGTTATCCACCACAAAAGGAACCTCATGAAACATATTGCGTTTCCAAACAATGCCTAATGAATCTTCTCAATATGAGAAAGGCAGTGGCTTAACTACATGTACATTCCCATCCCCCCCCCCCCAGGAATCGGGCCCCAATTGAAACGTGAAACGAAGAGAAAAAAAGAGAAAGGCGGAAAGGATTATGGGGGAAAAAGATGAGAAAAGAAGATTATACACCCCCTGCTCATACCTCACTGCAGTGGTTTTGTTAATAAGCATTTCATTAAGAGTAAAACCACTGCCCCCCCCCCTCCCCCCAACGATTCCAGTGTTCCCTGAAAGGCTGGATTCATAGTACACACCACTAGAGAAAGGTAATTTCTTAACACAGTCGCATTGTGACCTTGTACATTGTACGATTCTCATTTAATTTGGTTTTCATCCACAGCTAAGGGTTGAAATTGAAAGCACACTCTAGCAAAAGTAATTAAGATCACCAACCTTCAGTCCAATCAATACTAAGCTCCATTTATGGCTGGGTGTGAGATAAGGAGAGGAAAACATAATGATTAACCGAATAAAGATGGAGTTGGAAGCTAACAAAAGATATCGTCCCAAAAGAGTTAATGAGGTGCTTATAACATTTTTTGGAGAAGCTCTTCTTGTAAAGCATGTGCTCCGAGTTAACATGTTACTCTGGACATGCAGGCTACGAAACAGAAGAAAATACTAAGTCCCTTGTATAGGAAGTAAAATGGAGGAGAGCCACATACTCTGAAAAATTCAAGGCAGCAGTCCTGTGTCAACCAGGAGTATTACAGAGCCATTATCAATATCCACTCTCTTTATTTAAACATACTATAATAAAAAACAAAATCCTATCAACAAATGACGCACCTTGCTGTACACGTGTTGGGATTGTGAAGATTTGTTTTGTCCGAAGAAAGAAACAGAAAGAGAGAAAGAAGAAATCATGAGGTGGGTTTAGTGAGGTAACTGAAGACTTCCGTCTGCCTATTGAATATTTGCTTCGCTTTCTCATACAGGAGAAGGTCTGCATGCAATGATGCGTTGACACGAGGGTCTGCTAACAGTTCCCGCTTAAGTTTTGCAACTAGAAGATCGGCTTCAATTTTTTGGCGCCTTTTACGAAAATTGCCCTTGTTGTAGTGGGAGTCAGAGCAGCGGTCTTTGAATGGTACATGGTAGACATGTTGTATCATTCCCATGGAGAGATCAAAGTATTCCAGGAGACCAATGACAGCAAAGTAATTCTCCAGGTTGTCATAGACATGCTTGAGGAGATCCCCTCGCTCCTTCTCACTCAACATACGTTGGAGCAAGACTTTGTGCTTGAACCAACAAGGGATCGGTTCCCTGGAGAACTTGTGTGGGATGTCGTCATAGTTGCTGAGGTACGGCGAGTCATCGAAGGAACCGTTACAGACCTCTGGATTGATCACCAGCTGCCGGAAGAAAAAGCTGCCGTGATGCAGCGCCCAATCCACAACGCTCACTTCGCTTGCTTTGAGGGCGGTACACAACTGGTCCTTGCTGGAGTTCTTGGAGCAATAGAGGTAAGCGGATACCACGCGGTCGTATGGATTACGAATCATTGTGAAATATGAACACGGTCGGCCATCGTTGAAAACATCGCAAACCCCGAAGGAATACCCACCGTACAGGCCCATGTGCTGCTTAGTCCTTGGTGCATGCTTCCAATACTCAAATTCTGTAGCAGCGTAGCGAGAGCTGAAAACATCCCTCGATACGTTTAATCCACTGTCCGGTCCTACTACTTGCATGCATTTCCTAATGCTAATCCCTCCTGCCTTATTGTTGTGCAGGAATATTATGTTGCCTTCGCTGTAAGACGAGAGGCTCGGGGCTTTCTGCTTGTCCCACAGCAGAAAGAAGTTTGGGAGGAAACGGTGCCTTTCCACAGGCCATGACGCCGCTCCTTCAGCCACACTCGGGGGTGAGAAACCAGTTATCTTCCTATGACGCTTTCCACTGTAGTTACTCCATGTTTCCACTGGATGCGAGCTGAAAATTTGTCAAAAGATATATATCAAAATTAAAAAATGATTGCAATGACCTAATATCATGCTTCATATATTCTTTAATGTATGACTTGTTTTGATATCGTACAGTCAGTGCGTACCAAAAACATTGACAGAAAAATGATATCAAGTGAGTCCTAAATTACTCGAACTACTACTAATAATTACAGTCAACATATATGTAGCACCATGTCTGTATCAAAATGCATACCACACTTGAGATTTTTGTGTGGGTCCTAAAATACTAGTACCTGGTATTATAACTACTAACAATACATACATACATACATACATACATACTGCACCATGTCTGTAACAAAACACAGTTTATAATGACAAAATTTTAAAATTTGTTTGAAAATCTCTCTCAGATTCACAGATAAACTAAGCAATATCAAACTCCTGCATATATTACCCGACTTGCTGATACAGCGTCCATAGAGTAATGCCCACACAAGCGGCCAAGCTTATGACAACATAGAAGCGCTTGGCTTTCATACTTGTACACACTTCATGGTAACTCCCTTGCATCCGTACAGCCAAAGACAAAACCTTCTGAAAAATGAGACTGCAGAACAGAAAAGACAAAAAAGAGAACAAGAAATAAGAGACTATCTAAAATCATATTTCAACAGGCACAGGATTCTTCTTATCTAAAATGCTTAAACAACTTCAGCAGTTCCCCGGCAAACTACAAAGCATATTATCTACAGTTCAGAAACACTGTTAAGTTTATCTGCTTGTGCTTGTTTGCTGGAGTTTTACAGACTCTGCACCTGCCTCTGATCTGGCATGTTTCCATGTTTTGTGGATTCTTTTGATTTCGCACAAGGGGAAGTCACACCATCACAGCCATGATATCAAGATAAATGATTACCTAAGATAAGCTACTGTCTTGTTTCTGTTTCAGCTCACTCCTTGAACTTTGAAGTTTGGGATCAATGACAATAAACATTAGAGCTATGCAGCTACATGTACATCAGCTCATCTTACAGTACACATACATGTAGGTTATATATATATATATATCAAATTTGTGGCATCTGTGAGGGATAAACAGTGTGTGAGAATGCAGGTCAGTTTTATACCTCACATCTGACATGTAATGTTTATACACCTTTATTGTGCAAACTCTTTGGTTTGTATTCCACATTTGGATGTTAGACTGCATTTAAAAGAAAAGGGTTCAAATCAATATTGATTTATGTGGTCCTCTAACATTTGTATTCGCCTAAACGTCTCCTTCAATATGTACACAAAGTAATGTGAGGTAGGGGAAGAGAGCAGTGGGGTGGCGAACGGAGTGCAAACTATGCTTAGCTGTTTAAACTTGCTTTCTGTCCACAAGCTGATGATGATGGAGACATAAGCTAGTCTTAAAAGCAAGTCCATGTAGTTCATGCATTACACGCTCTTACATCGGCTACCGTTGAATTTAACAAGGACAATCAATGCATTATCAAATGTTGATTGATTTTTATACACCATTTGAAAGAAATCACAAACAAAAATTGAAACATTTCTAATTTTCTATCAAAATCACATGTAAGTTATAGTTCTCCAGGTCTTGATGCCTGGATATCCTTTACAATGGATATAATTCGATGCATCATTTTGAATTTCTAGTTTTACTAACCCAAGGTGTAGAAAATTGCATCAAGCCGTCAATCCAGCCCCCAAATCTTATTTGAACAGATTTCCTATCCTTGCCACTGACATTCATAACAAAGCAACAATACAAGTCACATGTATGGACACTGATTATCTTTAACGTTCAAAATACTCTTAGGTTCACCAGAAGCTCTTTACAGATTTGTTATGGGAACAGTGAGATTTTGCTATCATCTTTGTATTCTTAAACAGAGCTCTTTGTTACATTTAAAGCTCTTTCACTGCTCCCATATTTTGTTCCCACTGATCCCAGCCACGTGCTGCAAGACTAAAGGACCTGTGTTATTTTCTCAGTTTGTCGGGCATTAAAAATAGAAGTTTGTCACTCTAAATATACAATGCAATTCTTACACATAACAAGGGAAACGCTCTCGGCGGTCTCGCCTGCATAACGCAATTCAATATGATAAACCAGAATGTCAATGACGTAGCGCTCATCCGCATCTCGCAACAACAAATATCGTAAATTTTATGTGGTACACTTTTGAACTGGTCAAAAAATAAAAATTTGATGCCCTGGAAGGGACATCATTTCATTTCATTTGCATAAAGTACCATAAATAATCAATGGAGCAAAATCTTACAATTCTGTGTAGAAGTTAAGTGTTCCAAATTTAGCTCTACCAGATAAGGCAAACCAAATCAAAATCGGTCTAGAAATGAAGGAGAAGAAGCTTTTTTTGTGATTTCGAATAAATTTGCATAAATTAGCATAGATAATGAATTTCACGATTCTGTGTAGAAATTTTAAATCCCCCTCCTAGCCCTATCATATGAAACAATCAAAATCAAAATCGGTTGAAAAATAACGAAGAAGAAGCATTTTGAAAATCTTGATGTTGATGCCACAACAAAGTCTAAGTTTGTTGACCTTAAATGACCTTTGACCTTAACTTAGTGACCTGAAATTCTACTCACATGATTGGGGAGACTTGATAACCCTATAGTTCAAGTTTCATTGACTAAGAACTTACACTTTCAAAATTATATCAAAAATTAAAAAACTTAACCTTAGGTTAAGTTTTTGATGATGATGCTACAACAGTCCAAGTCTGTTGACCTGAAATGACCTTTGACCTTGACTTTGTGATCTGAAATTCTACTCACTTGATTGGGGATACTTGATTACCCTATAGTCAAAGTTTCATTGACTAAGAATTTATACTTTAAAAATTATATCAAAAATTCAAAAACTTAACCTAAGGTTAAGTTTTTGATGTTGACGCCGCCGCCGCCGCTGTCGCCGCCGTCACCGGAAAAGCGGCGCCTATGTCTCGCTTTTTGCTACGCAGGCGAGACAAAAAGTAGGGCTCACTATTAACAGAGATCCAGTCCACAAGGGTCCCCAAAATTTCACAGAAAGCCCATGCATCTACAGTATGTGTAGATCTTTAAAATATCTACCCATATCTCCCCAAACAAATTTATTGTGGAGCCCTGTAAAAACTAATGAACCTGTCATTTAAAGAAATCAAGACTTCCTCAATTACAACCTTGAACTGAGTCACAGTACATCAGGCATGCTACTGATGATAGGGATTAAACATTATAATCACGAATACACGCTCTCAATTTGGTCCTAATTTGGTCCTAATTTGTGCTGTCCGTGACAGATGGTAAATACATACATGTAGCTAGAGATGATCACGGAGAGGCAATGGATGTCAGCCCTGTCATTGACAAGCAATGCTCTAGCTTTCACACACAACCAATCAAATCACAGATCATAAAAACTGCAAGTAATTACTCCAGATGTATACTAGTAATGCATGCCACAAATCATTTTTGTAAGTTATTTTGTTAGCGCTACATAGTAGGTGTATATTATGCACATCCTTCACTTCAGGCAGGGAGGTGGAAAACACCAGGACTGTGATGTCTTACAGCGCCTTGTATCCTTTGGAAAAGGTGCTATATAAATCCAATTATTATTATTATAAACATTGCAGCAGTAGAAATTGCTTGCTTTCTGCACTAGCTGGAAAACCACAAAATCAATAGGAGTATACTAACAAAGCTGAATGTAGAATGTCTGGATGCAAAAATGTACATTGTTAGAATGCAGTCATCCTTATACACCATTTGTACTGGTATTTTCTTGAGCTCCCAGTTTTCAAAAGGTGAAAGAACTGCACACTACTGTACATGAACATTTTCAAAATATGATTGTTTCCAGTTTCACTCTTCTACTAAATCTCTCGAAATACTATTCCAAGAACGAGATTGCATAGATATTACACCTCTAATTCCGCTTTTCAAAGGTGTGTCTTTCATGCATGATTCACGATATCCCGTAGCTAAGCTACTAAGGATACAATAGGACTTGGAAGAGTTTGATGACCTACCTGACACATGACATTCTGATTCAGAGAATTGGGAACATATCCAGATTTCTAGGTTAGGACTAATATCTACAGCAGCAACACAAATATGTTTAAAATGTCATCATTATTGACTGAGGGAATCTATGAAAATAGTGACTCAAGTAAAGTCAATGTTGAATCATGCAATAGAGCAACAGTGAGAAGTAAGATATTGTATCAGGAATTTTGTGTACAATGTCTAACCGTGATGTAGAGGAGAGAGAAAGAGAGATATAAGCCCTATGAACTCAAGCATGACAGGCCGTCTCATTTCATTTCATACCATCTCCTCAGGCCATCTGGACCTATCTGAAATATCATGTCATCTCCAATCTCATCAGGTGCTTAGAGAACAAAAAGTTCTCAATTGACATCTCACCAAACCAGAAATGTATTACTTTCAAATGAAGTCACGTTAGACTTGACTTCACCCAGGGTTGATGCCTCATGGCATGGCAAATTCATCTTATCCATTATACATACATGTACGATGTAAGAAGAAAAAAATGTCCAAAATATATCTTCTGCATTTATTTTGGGGTGAATTTCCAATCATAAATATCTTGATAATCAGACAGGCGATCGGCTTGTAGAAGTCATGTGATTCCTGACTGACCTTAAGGTTTATAAATGATTGCAGTATGAGCTAAATCCAGGATTTTGTTCCAGAATCTGAGGCAATGTTACAGAGTCACTTTAAGTCTGAACAGATATATCTGAAGTATGTTTTTACTCAAATATGTACATGTAGTTGACAAGGTGAAATCTATAGAGAAGATTCTCCACAAGCTTTGCAAGAAATAATTTGAGTTTTTCTAAGAAAATACCCTACGCAATAAACTCAATAAAATATCTTCAGACAAAATTTTCAAAATAAGAATTATAATATATGATATTCTCAGTTTGAAAATGTTGAATATAAAGCTTCAAAACTTCATGTTTACATCCACTAGATTATGTTGATTCAGATACTATCTTTGAGGTTTACCATAAAACTGAAGAGTTGAATTGTTGACTTATTCTCTATTGGGGATTTCCACCTAGACCACATAAAAAAAAAAAAAGGAAGAAGAGGAAGATACATTTCTCAATGAAAAACTTCTCAGATGTAGTAACTAGTAAGTATGCAGGAATTTCCTGAACATATCTTGCGGTTTTATATTTTGCTTCACACTAGGTGGACCGTTACATCCACGTAGACTAAACATGTAAACACAGCTAGAATAGTATACTGGTATGTAATAGGCTACAATGTACAATGAGGGATAGATAATATTGCAACATACAGTTCACAAATCAGTTATTTATACCCATTGTAATTTTCAGTTTATTGTGTTATCTGTAACTCACAAATGAAAGGTGGACTGGTTGAATTAGGGCATTTGTTGAATACTTTTATATGTCACACTATCAAGAAACATAAACTGGGGGAGAAAAAGTTGTGCACACAATCAAAAATGACAAAACATGGTAAGCAGTTTATCAGGGCTTTGGTCAATTTTCTTGTCAACATTTTTAGCCTAATCTGAAACTTTGTGTTGGACTATACTCATAGCACCCTGAGATAATATAATTTGTGACTTGAAATTGACCCCCCAAATCTCAAATATAATCATTAGCAAATGAAAATAAAAATCAAGAAGAGACAGAAAATCCTCAGTTGATGAATGCCCCATGTACTTACAGGTTTGATGATACTGGCGAAAGTGAAAGAGAAAGTGAATTGGAAACTCCTTCACTAGGTTCAATATTTACGGGAATAGCTGACATGGACCAATCTCCACAGAAATGTAACCTCTGTACAGAAAATCTTGCTCACATGGTAGAATCTTAACTTGTATGAGCCACACACACTGAAGACGAAGGGGACAGAGACATGAAGTCCTACACTTTCAATTCCTTGTCTACTTGTCGACATCTTCCTACAGATGTTCTGTGATGCAGCCTCCTCAATTCCTACATGTCAACACTTTATCATGGAATCTTTACACTATCTTATCTCTTACTTGCTCTTTCAGCAGTACAGTTCTCTCCTCGAGTCTCCTCTCCCTCTCTATCTAGGCCTGTCCACATTAGCCCCAGTATCGAAATAGCCCGTTAACTCCAATCCAGGGAAATTATCCCCATCACAAGTACTTGTAGCTCTTGCAAATTGGCAGTGAAAAGCGAAAACATACATTATATACATTTACATGTATGTACCAGTAGGCTTTTTCACCATGTCTTCGGACAGTGGAAGCTCAAGCTCTTACCACAAGCAAAAAAAAAAGAAAGGCTTATTTTTTTTTAAATAGAACATCATTTGGCTAAATAGCGGTCAGTCGGTGGAAACAAAACATGCTTGAACAAGCTATTCTTCAGGCCAGTGGGGATGGCTCAACTTTTCTTGGAAAAGTGCTGAACAATCTTACATCTCATGCTCCAGTCTGTTCAGGCTAATGGAGAAGCACCTACTGCCTCCCTCTTGTGTCTTCACCCTCCTCTCTTACCCTTCTCCGTTGTCACATCACAATATCCCTACACTCCTCCTCCTTGAAGCAGGGCTTATATTTCTACACCGGATAACGTCCGTCCATCACTACCAGTAGAAACAAATTTGTTTGCGGGGCTCGGAGGGGAAGATGTGGCCTCATCGAGTCACAATGTGACAAACAAAATCCTTTTACACTGGTGATGCGGGCGGCGGGCATCTTCCTCTCTCTCCCAGGCAGAACAAATAATCAGACAATGATAAATGGGATGCATGTCAACCGCCCAGAAATTCGACATTTTGCAACGGCAAATCAACCGGTGCAAATGTACGTCCATGGGTCTTTTGGAATCTGAGTGTTTGGGAACCTGTCAATAAATGTATATTTGAGGGCATAGCCACAGAAACAGACGAAAACATCACTGCTTAGAAATGGGCTTCATGTACGCAGACATATTGCCTTACGAAAATGGGCCACATGACGCTTCATGTCTATAAGTTAAAACAATTATAAATATGAAAACTGAACGTACCGCAAAACAAGCAATATGAACAATGTCCCTTTCAGTTTCATCAGACTTGACAGATATAATTTGTTATCATCCATGCTTTCATACATTATGGTTCCCTGGAAAATCAAACAGTATAATATTGACATACTACCAAGAAACAAACATAAGTACAAAACACACAAATTTTAATTTCATTGGAGAAAATTAAGTAGTATGAATCATCATCTTGTTAGGTTATAGCAGGGAGTTGGAATGTACTTTTATAGACACAACAAATCTAGTCACCAACTATTGAAGGCCATTACCCTAAAGAAGAGATAGAAAAATATATTGCCATCGTCAATTAACCGCCACCTAGCACGATTATTCATTACTCCCTTATAGTATACCCTAATGTGCTTCGCAAGTATTCATTGCATGTTTATGCATAATCAGTAGTGAAAACATGCTCACGTCCTGTGCATTGCTTCTCTCTCCCAGAGCCATGTGGATGCAATTGACGCTGAAGAACAGAAATTGGAAATAGAGTGGAACCCTTGTCTACAACGTGTAGTAGAAAAACTTAAACACCTCGCATTGGTATTCTCCCTCTTTCTCTTTCTCTCTTATTTATATTTATACCAATATGTAGTTTCTAACTGCAAAATCTCAAATAAAACCTCACCTCAAAGAACTTAGGGTAGGGGTGCTGAAAGATGAGATTTATCCCTGCCTTGTGATGTACAATATTCCTGCCCATCAAACGAAATTGCACTCCGCGTCACATTAAACATTAAGGTTGGTACGCGCGACGCATGGTACGCGCATGGTTTGCTGCCTGCTTAATAGTGCGCGCTCACTATCGGCAATTTCATCAGTTGAAAACAAACAAAAATCGCCGAGATTAAGGCATAGGAAAACTGTTTTAAGCCCGTTAACGTCCGAGGTGTTGTATAAAACAAATAGTGAATGGTCTTTTTTCGTGCAATGAAACAATATTTTGCATTCGGTGAAAGATGAGACGCTATATTCAACTCGGCTGCACCTCGTTGAATATCTTTCACCTCGTGCAAAATCTTGTACCATTGCACTCATGGCCAATTGGCCATTCACTATTTGTATACTAGGTATGTGGATTATTGAAAATTCAAAGGGTTTATCTGGTCATCAAAAGCATATTGTTAACCTGCACTCGCGCGTAGTCAACATGATAACATTCAGATGAAGAAGACTTTGGTAGTTACTTCCTGCACTTATAATCAATGCAGTGTGCAATATATAATTCACAGGCAAGCCTTTATTTTGCTATACCATATAGTTTCCACAATATTTCTTCCCGTTTAAAGTCCATAATGCCCACGTGTGTTTGTGATACGGTTGCCCTTAACTTGTCTTGAACACATGAGATAAACTTGATGATGCCCCTCAAGCTTTTTAAATGAATTAATTAGGAATTTCATCAAGTTGGAGTGACTGGACTGTGATGCATTGCACACAGAAACTCCCGAAAGACCACCCTTGGAAGATTGCAGCCAGCGAGTTGTGAGGGCATCATAGCAAGTCGACCTAACTCCTCATCACAGCAAAATGCCTTGTGACACTAGGGCAGGGGTAGATCCAGGATTTGGTAAAAAATAAAGGGGGCCCAAAAGAACAAGGGCAAAATTCCAAAAATAATATGAAAAGCACAACAACAAAAATGCTATTTTTAAAAGTTCAGGTAATTTTCCTTTGTGACCTTATTGGATGGCGCTCTGGATTTTAAAGAGTTAAAGAGTTGGACCAAGTGTGTTAGCCCCCCCCCCCCAAAAAAAAAAACACACAACAACAACAACACCTATCAGCCAATGTTCTAGGGCAACATTGACGACACCTCTGCTTATAAGTACCCCTAATAGTTCACAGCATGTCCTGCTAGCTTACACACATACATGTCATAACATCCTATGCATGTATTTATCTTCATTTAAATTATAATTTGTCTCTAGCTCTGATAATGACTTTAGCCTGGCTCATGTGGAATGACAAGTGAGCAAGTCTCCGTCCCAGTCACACACGCAAACCAAGTATTTCATGAGTACAGTAGGTGAATCTCATTGGAATCAACCTTTTAAAGAATCTCAATCACCTGTATGACATATAGGTGTCCTCCAAACAAGGAGGCTTCATCGGTCGTTTGGCCTATTGACGAAAGATATTCATGTCAATACTATGGTACAGTACATAAGAATTCTGGACGTCGTTTCACAAAACCGTCATAATACAAGTTCACAGACATTCCATTGAAACGCATGTTAAATCTAATACACGCATTTCAATAGGATGTTGTTAAACTTGTACTTATGAGCCTATGAGCAAACACTAACAAAAATCCATATTACAATTACATCAATAGCCTAGGAAATAATAAAAATATAAAATACAATGTTCATTATACATGTACCTCAATAAGAATCATAATTCACTAACATAAACAAGGATTTCATTTCTCTTTATCAAACGATTAATGCATGTCAAAAACAGAAAAGACTTCTTCAACGTTTGAAATGATCTAGCATGAAACCACAATTAATCCATGTGAACTATCATGCCAACAAGACTAAGATGTCAATAATTGTCAAAAACTATTTTGAAAGGTCTTGAGACACTTCTAATCAATATTATTTGGGAACGATTGTTTTCAAGAAATTTACTGCAGCATTACCAAAGTGCATAAACTTCACATTGCATTCTCAATAACATGGATGCATGACTAAAAATTATAATTTGTCCAAATCAATAACAATTTACCTTCCCTGCCCTGTAATGATCAATGTATAAAAGCTACAAATATTAGGACTCTTGCATTATCCTGTGGTGAGTCATCATTCCATTAGTTATGAATTGTTCCCTCCTTTAGCTTTCAACTGGGGCATCTTTTTATCAACGGTATCAATCATCTGATGCTTTTGGCAGTAAAGATTCTTTTCATTTTAAATCTCCTTGACCTTCTACAGAATCGGTATGATCCTATTTAGATTGAATATGTATACATGTACATGTACAGAATTAACTTTGAACTGTAAGTTACATAGAAGAGCAGATTCATGCAACAGACGCTATGCCTTTTATGGATATACTACACGTACTGTCCACATATATCCATGCTTGTTTTTAAGAATTTGGTTTCAGATATTTTACGTAGTTCACACTTTATACCAAACAAATAATAATATATTATACATACCATCCATGCATCCATTAATTACAACAGGGATTCAAATTCGAATTAAATGTAGAATTATTACCCTGATCCTGTCTATACTACCATGAGACCATTCCCCAAGTAGGTGATAACTCCTCCCTGAAATAAATATTTTCCAGCAATATATATTGGATAATAATTTGGACATTTCTGGTACCACTCTGTACATTTCTTGATAATCAACTTCCCCAAATTAGTTTATATGCAGATTCTGTTTGCGAGAAATGCACAGAGCTTGAGATACATGTATATATTTTGTTTAAACAGAGAGAGAGAGAGAGAAAGAGAGAAAGAGAGAGAGGATTGTGGAGGTAAGTTAATGAACCTACAGTGTACATGTAATCCTACCATCATTTAACAGTATATCCCTACCTTTTGCTTTTGGAAGAGAAGAAGGTAAAGAAGAAGAAGAGGAGAGAGAGAGGGATACCGGTAGTCAGATAAGGGCTTCACTGAGATAATCGCAGTGTCTATTTCAGGTGAAATTGAGACAGGGACCAAGGATTGATATTATGCACATCAAATGCAAGACATGCCCTCATCTCAAATTTGTCATTTGAGAGGCAAGAATCCTGAGGTAAAGATCTCTTAAAGAGTGCCCTGGATTCCACATCAATTTGCAGTAATTTGATTTAATTCAAATCAATCATACAAGAACAAGCATCCCACCCTTCCTACATGATTTTGTGGATGTCTGTGGCAAGACATCAAGTCACAAAACATGCACTAGCATCACACATCAATAACATGACAAATATGTCCAGAGTGT